ACTTAAGGCAGTTAAAGGGACTTAAGCATCTTAAAAGTAAATTAATCTTATTTTTTAAGTAGCTTATTTTACTGAAATGACTTTCAAAATTACATTTTTTACTAGTAAAACAACTTGCCAGTCTCCTTGTCTTTGAACAAACTATCCAACTGCAACAAGCAAGAAAACATATATGCAAAAATAACGATTCCAACCTAACACTTCCTCATATGCAAATCTTCAAAATGTCTTTGGATTAGAAAGGACTAGACAATATAGTAAACAATATTCTATAATATTACCCATTACAATCAAAGGATAATAGTGTTTTTAAGCGGTAAATATACAAAATCAAGTTATCTCAAGATTGACTTGAAGACTAGCAAAATATCTATTGGACATTAAACCACATCAAAACTGGTAAGGTAAATTAGACACTTTGAGTATTCTTCAAGTTCCACACCATGTGTACTAACATGTAAGCTCTGAGGATCACTAAATTTATGTGAACCATCCCAATTCAACACAGAGGGACTGGGAAGAGGAGATTGGTGAGCCCAGAACTTTTCATTCTCGGTTGAGAGTTGAGTTCGAAACAAGAAAACTGCATTGCCCATACCATTACCAAACAGCCAACCATAAACATCCTAATAAACCTCAACTGGAAATCCAAATATGCTCATTAAATATGCAACAATACATACAGACAGGCTATATTCAAACGAAATAGATAAGTGACAACAGGAAAGAGCAGATCTGTAAAGACATAACATAGATCGAGTAATGTATTATGCTAAAAAAAAAAATAATAATAGATCGGACTTAAAAGAATCAGTGACATCAGGATTACGAAATCGAACCCTTCCATTAACTTACTACTCAAAAAGACCTCAAATAATGCGAGCATCAAATTTCAGATCTCATCATATGCTCCGGGATAAATCAATACGAGCACAAAATCTTTCTACACCCAAAAATATAAAAATAATAACAAAAAAGCTTGGCAAATAATTACAGCAACAACAATAATAATTTGCCTTGAGCTGGAGAGATATTCTATCAAGAGAGCAAAAAATTCGAGACGAAATGCAAATCCAACCTTCGCAGAGACGAATGATTGGCTACCTTCTTTTGATTTTTTGTTCCCTGTTAAGTGAGAGGCCGCCTCCACCCATGGCCAGTGCCGGCACATACACCACCATCCATGGCCGCGACGCTGCGTTCACAGTAGCGTCGCCTCCCCACGCCCACGTCCGTGCCGGTTGCAGTGTTTGACTGGGTCGACGGCGTCGAGAAGAGAGGAGGAAGAGACGAGATTGGAAGAAGAGGGAGGAGATGGTTTCCATTTCGGGGTTTTCCATTTTTTGTTTTTTGGGGATAGGAAGAAGACGGGATTTTACTTCTGAGCGTTTCCCGTGTTTCCATTTGTTTGGGTGTTTTGTACTGAAAACGCCCAAAACGTAAAAAATGGCGTTTTGTGTTTTCAATACAATTTTTTTGTTTGTTTTCAAAAACGCATTTTCGGAAATAGGAAAGAGAACGCATTTTCACTATTTTGAAAAATCGAAAATAGAAAACGGCTTGAAAACAGTAAAGAGAACGGGGCCTAATTGTTTCAGTTTTGTGTATCTCTGAATGTCATGAGACCTTGAAGAAAGGTGATGTAACAGATACCATCAAAGTATATATTCATTCTGAAGCTATTATATCATTATCTTTTTTATGAGTTTAGCATAGTAACATCCATTTTCTTTTGTTTAAGAGTGCAAGAAACGATATGTGATTATTGATTTAGTATTTATTGTTATTGCATAAATAAATTTAATGGTTATTGTAGAATGAGTTTTATATATATGGGAAATATTATATATAAATATAATTATATATTAAATATTTTGTAAAAATAGGTAGGAAATGGCAACCTATAATGAATGTTGTTAAAACATTAATGGCAATAAGCATTACAATCTTTAGTAACATGCATTGTCTATGATAATGTTGAAGCCCGCAACATTACAAAAGATCTTGTACTATATTTTTTGCTCGATGTGAAAGACAATTTTTGTTGTAGTTAATGCATCAAAAGTATTGTAAAATAAATTTCGCGACGAACATAAATTGTTATAAAATATATACTACTATATGTATGTGTTGTTGTAAAATAGAATAAATAAATAACGTTATAACATTAAAATAGTATTCGCAACAAACTTTTTTAAAAAACAAAAAACTTTATTTGAATAATCGTTGCAACAAATTGATTTGTCGCCCTTTTAATTTTTCACGACATATATACATTGTGAGGACATTATGGCGACAAATATTTTTTGCTATTTCGTATTTTCCGTGTCAAATAATTAATGTTGCGATATTTGTTGCTATTTCGTATTTTTTGTTCAAATAATTAATGTTGCATGATTGTTAATGTGATGAATGATTAAAAGTTGTTACAAAATACGTTTTGTGAATCATGTAGCGCGGCAATACATACAACAAATATATTGTTGTTGTGAAATTACTTTTGCAACAAAATCTCTATTTATATATGCGACAACAATTTTTTTGTTGCGATTTCAGTATTTTTTTTTAGTGATAGGTGGTTGTGGTTGTAAAAGATGGTCATAGAGATGGCAACGATGGTAAAAGGAGGTATTGGCAGCGGCACAGAGGTACGAACCATGTATGGTGGTGGGTGGGCTTAGGATGGTAACAGTGGCTTTGGAAAGTAGTTGATTGTGGTAGAATTTGAAAGAAAGGTGACAGTGGGTATGATTGAGATAATGGTGGCGATGGCAGCTGCAATGGTGGTGCTAGGGTTTGGTGGTAGAAGTGGTGGCAATGAGCGGTGTTATTTGGGATGATGATGATGTTGGTGACGACGATGGTGATGCTAGGTTTGGTATTGGAAGGTTTGAAACATTAGAGAGAGAATTATTTTAGTTTATTGTACTTTGGGTAGAAATGGTAAAAGATTATATCCCTACTAATATAAAAGAGGCAATCTGCAGGTTACTATTCATTTCTAAAGCATTTT